ATCCATCCATCCTTTTCCTCTTAGAATCAAGTGCTAACAAACAGTAAATTCCTAGAACAATGACTCTCACCCCACATGTATGGGAGTGTGGGGTGCAAAAAAGATGTCACTGAAAGTTTCACAAAGAATTTGTATTTTTTCCATAATGTTTAAGAGTGATGTAATCAGTTCAATGATAATCTTACAAAAAAAAAAATCTCAGAATATTCCAGATCACCTAGATAATAACACTATAATCAAGTATCAACATAATTTCAGTGTCCATGCTTGTGGTTCATGATTATGCTGGTTACAGGCAATCCCCCAAAATGACAGCATTTACTTCTGTAGTCCCAGATCCAAATATTCTCCAGTATGAAGAAACAAGGCCTTACAATATTCATTCATTCTTCAAACAAATATATATATTGAAGCACCTACAAATATTCTTGGTGAGAGAAGAAGAAAAGAAAAGGAAGAGTAACAAGAAGCTTAAGCATCCCAGGTTTTACAAGAGGCAAGAGAAAGTGTAAAAGGAATTTTCCTAAAGTACTAAGTAAGAACTGCAGAAGATGAATGGATATGGAAGGCCTTAACCAATGATGCTGGTAATAAAAACTGACTACAGAGGAATGAACAAAGCCAGGCATGCCAATCTTGTGGCTTCCGTGGGCCACACTGAAAGAATAAATGTCTTAGGCTACACATAAAATACACTAACGATAGGTGATGAGCTTTAAAAAAAAAAAAAAAAAAAAATCGCAAAAAAAATCTCGTAACGTTTTAAGAAAGTTTACAAATTTGTGTTGGGCACATTCAAAGTCCTCCTGGGCCCTTTTTGGCCAGCCAGGCAGTGGGTTGGACAAGCTTAAACTAAGCCATCAAAGAGAGAAAACGGAAGGAGAGATTGGGCCCATCATAGACTAAAACATAAAAAGAATGGAAGTCAGCACGGCAGATTTTGCATTACTTCTGGACTCCAGATACCACTGGCGCCATCATCTTAGGAGAGAATGTTGCTATCCATAGTGTGGAGAAGGGAATCTGGTGGGCAGCAACAGGAGGAGTGTATGTCATGATCATTTTATGTTTAAGTGAAATTTCCAAGTTGTGGGTTTATAATTGAGAAAGCATCTAAATAAGAAAAACCAAATGGAATAGGTAGAAAAATGAGACAGTTTAAATTAGGCAAGGTTTCCTAGAAGGAAAGCCTAGAAGCTGGGCCTGATGGTTCACACTTATAATCCCCCACACTTTGGGAGGCTGAGGCGGAGAGGATCCCGCCAAGGCCAGGAGTTTGAGACCAGCCTACGTAACATAATGTCTCTACAAAAAAACAAAATAAGCCAGGCATAGCACGTGCCTATAGTCTCAGCTACTCAGAAGGCTGAGATGAGAGGATTGCTTGAACCCAGCCTATAGTCAAGGCTATAGTGAGGAATAATCATGGCATTCTATGCACTTCAGCCTGAGTGACAAAGCAAAACCCTAACCTAAAAGAAAAAAAAAAATAATTTATAATTTTTTTTTTAAAAAAGCCTAGAAGTGTTACTTAAAATAATCACATATTTCCTATCAGGCAAAACAATAGTAATGACTAAATTACAAATAATTTAGAAAAGAAAAAAATAAAAGCCTCAAGAGTAGTTATAGGGAATGTGTGCCACCTGCCTAGTAGGAAATAAAATAAATCATAAAAGTTAAAAGTTTGTATTTGATTCAGGACTTTAAAGAGCCACTAAAAAAATAAGTACAAATGTGCATTAAAAACAACTTCATCATCAGTATGCAGACTATTTTGTAGTACTAAAAAAATCACACCAGTCTAGCCAAATGCCATTACATTGTCACAAAGAGGAGAGATTACTGCAAGTTAAAAGAAAGATATAATCATATCTGTTTTAGTTTTTTAGAAGTCACTAGAACAGAAGCCTAAACCATAATCAAGACTACGAATCTGATTATTCCAAGAAGGGAAAATAAATACCACAGGCTCAAGAACTGCCAAAAGTCTTTAGTCCTAAATCTATATATGAAGATTAATTCTACATCAATTTTTTTTAGTTCCAAGAAGGACACCTCGCATTTGTGCCACTCGACACAGTGCAAGAGCTAATTATGGAAGAGTTAATAGGATGGTATGATGTTGTCCACAAAATGGCACGCCACTCGCTCTATCCACAGTGACATGGATTAAAGCTTTATCTCACTCAAGGTTCTTCACAAAGAAATAAGGCTAATTTATGATATAACTCAAAGGCAAGCCAAAACATCTCTCCCACCAGTATTCTAAACTGCTTTCTTGGGTTCAATTTTTCTTACAATCAAAAACAAGTAGAGAATGTATATATGAAAGCAAGCTGCAAGACTAAAATTAAGAGGACCTCTATAGTTGTATTTCATTGGGCTAAATTCTGCAGACCTGTGGTTTTCAAACTGTGGTATGCAACAAGCGGCTAGTGAACATCATGTCCCACGGGATTCAAAGACACAGGATAAAAATTTACACTTGCAGCTGCCTAATAGCAAATTAATGTGATGATATAGGAAGCAAAGGAGCCGTTAACATAAATGAAATGTAAGTGTTCCCCTCAAACAACAAACATGTTGTAAAATGCAAACTTTTCCATGAATTTCTAAGATAAAACAGGAAATTATACAGATATCTTGTATCTCACAATTAAGATACTTTGAACTCTACCCATAAGATCTGAGGAGGAGAGGTTGAGAAGCAGTGTACATGCTCACTCTCCTCTGCAGTCACCAAAAGTTTAAGGAACACATCATCTCTCATGTTTCTTTCACCTCTCCAGCAACATGAACTTATTCATTCTCGTATGTTACCCTTCTCCATTCTGTCAAGGCCTAGTCCAAGGCCTTAATGCCCTAATCTGGGCTGAGTGCAAACCTTGTCTAAGGTTATAGATTCTTTTCATCCTAATCCATCATAAATTATGCTAGTAGAGAAACTTTATATGCTTTCAACTCTAAATTAAATACCTTGAGTACCAACAGTTACCATCATTGAATGCTACTACAGATCCAGTACTTTATATCCACTGTCTCATTTAATCCCCAAAATTCTCTAAAGAAGTTCTGTTTTCCAGAGTAGAAAACTAAGATTCAGATTAATTAAACTCCAAGGAAACTAAACTAGTAAGTGGCGAGTTAGGACTCCAGCCCATATCTGACTATAAAGCTTACTCATTACTTGCAGAAACTACTCCGTCCAAGCCACTGTACTGATCAAGGGGAATAAAATTTCAATCTTATGCTGAAATCCATTATAAAACTCCTACTGCCTATAAAACTAGCTCAAACTAAAAAAACAAAAACAAACAGAAAACATCAATGGCACTAAAGACCCTCTCTATAATTTCCAGCATTGAAAACTGTTTTGTACCAAGAAAAAAATTACTTATCGTTCCTAACACAAAATCCTCACTGAACTCTGACTCATATAGTTCATCTCAGCCTAGAATAACTCTGTCACCTCCCCTCCTTAAAGAAACTCTCTCTCCTTAAGGCCCAATCCAAGCCATGTCCTTCAAATCCTTCCCTATTTAGGTTAATAATTACAGCCCCTAATAGAGATCACTTAAAATCAGTACAAGATGAAGCAGATATAATCCACTTAATAGTCTAAGATCTCTGAGCACAAAAACTACACTGTAACTTGACACTGCTTTGTCTCTTCCTTAGATAGACATATATGGGCAGTCACTCAACCCCCAGTCTTACGTTCTTTCCACTGTCTCACTGAGGCTATAAAAAGTGATCTCAAAACAAAGGATGGCACATGATTTACCATTCTGCTTATACATAGCTGGCTCCCTTTCCACCTGCAGCTGCCCCAAGTCTTTACTCCTCCTCTTCAGAGCACTATCCAAACACACCCCAACTAGCAGTAAAAAGACCTAAGCTGCTTGGGAATAATCTGAGCCAGGCATCAGGTGTGAATTCCGTCATCAGTCCTCCTCTGTCACTTAGAAATATACTTTTATCTTCATCCTAACTTCAGTCCTTCCTGTCTCAGGAGTATCCTATATTTTCCCCAGATTTCTCTACCATCTCCTTGATCTCATCCTCTCTTTAACGTTCAAGCTCCCACTCAGTATTTGTTCCTTTCTCTTCAGTCTCTCCCTAGACTCTTTCTCCTCAACCAACAAGCATGTTCATTTCCCCATTTATTCCTGTTTGTGGATTTACTATGTGTGCCAGGAACTGTTCTGTGTACTAGGGTTACAGAGCTTATATTCCAGTGAGTGTGACTGAAAATAAACAAGAAATAATGGAAAATTATGGCTTCACAAAAAAGATAAGCTGTATGAAGAAAATAAAAAGTGATTCAACTGAGGTAAATTGCAGAGAGAGAATGAGATTATTCCTGAGGAGTCCTCACCAGGGAAATTAACCTTAAGAAGGGTGTGTGAAAGCGAGGGGCAAAGTAATTTAAAAGAGAGAAAAAAAATTCAAACACCTGGGAGAACCACTTTGGTGTGCATCACGAAGAGATAAGAAAGACCTGTGACTGCAATGTAATAAGTCTGGCAGAGGCAGTGGCACATAAATGAAACCTGAGTGGTAGACAGGGACCAGATTTTATAGACCCATAGGGAAGGAGTTTGGATTTTTCTACCTGTGAGGAAGCCACTGGATGATCTTAAGCAAGGAATGAGGTACAGTCTGATCATTCTGAAACCTCAAACATACAAAAATACCACCATCTTTTAGATTAACTGTGTTTTCCACAGTTAAAAGTACCTAACTCTCTCTAACCTGTTAAAGTAAGAAAAATTCAATTTTAAAAAACTTTCTTAACATCTGTATTTAATGCTATATCAAATATATGCTTGCTTTAAAGTTAAAATTAGAGGATACAGAGTAAGTGTGGCTAACAAACTCAACAAACACACTCACCTGTTTGAGATTTCGCCCAGCTGGCGAATGAGGGTAAGTTTAAAGCACAATGTCATTCTGCCCCTCTCAGGTTGAACTTCTAATCCAAAAATCAGACTCACCTCGACAAGCTTCTTCAAAATCTTGGGTAATGTCCACCCAGTTGTATTGCTTTTTCCATTTTCTGGCATACTGAGCTCCCATCTGAATCCTTCGTCATCTACAGAAGCTTTCATATACATTATGCCTGTAAAATTAATAGTGATGTGAGAGAGAGGATGTAGCTTTCAGGCAAGAGTATTTGCAGAAATGTGTGTTTGTTTAAGTATGGGATGAAGTCTTACTAAACTCTTTAAAGCAGAACTTTTCTGAGTCTAAGGACAGTACTGCAAAGAATAATCTCAATGCAATCAAATCTCACATCAATTAACGATCCTGCTTATTTACTATTAGCCCACCACCTACCAGGGCCCATAAATACTTTGCCTTCCTACCGTTTAAGAAAAATTACAAACCATCTCACCACTGGCCCGAAAAGAACAACTCCAGAGCTTCCAACTTTCAATAATAGCCACAAATGACCAAAGCACTATTCAGGGTCCCCTCTCGCAGCCCAGGATTTAGCCGGCAACTACCGAAGTCAATCAAGGCAGCCCTTCACCTGGCCAGAGCTCGCTGGGACCCTGCCGGGTGAGCCGGCCCGGACCCAGAGCAGAACCTCGCCGGGAGGAATGAGGAGCCAGCACGCACCATAAGTCCCAGCAGCCGGGCTTAGGGCCGGGCACACCCTGAGGCGGAGCACCCGCTTCCCTTCCGCCCCGCCCGGGTCAGCCCGGCCCAGCCCCGGTCCCACTGGGCGCGTAAGCAAGGACAGAGCTGTCGCCGCGCAGGAGGGCAGGCACGTCCGGCGCCGGATCATCGCCTCGGCAACACCGGGGTGGGAGGCCAGGGCCTCGGCCAACAGCAGGCACTGGAGAGCCCGCGGCTCCACCTGACGCAGCGGAGGGCCCGGGGCAGCAGGGTGACCTGGGGTCCTCGGGGCCCGCCACACGCGCGGGGGCTGCGGCTCTTGGACACACGAGCGAGAGGTTTCAATGGCTACGCAGGGCGGTCCTACCTACTTCTCCCGTGGTCACCCGCGCCGCCACGCACTGTCCGGACCACGGAAATAACGACGCCGCCTCTGCCGCCGCCGCCCCCTCCCCTCTCAGCCCAGCCCGACCGACGGCGTGCACGCATGCGCGCCAGGGCGCGCGACCCCGCCCCCTCTCCCTTACTCCCGGGACTTCGCGCTCCCCGGCCACACCCCCTCCCTCACCACCCCCTCCGTTCGGCCGACGGCGGCCGCCGCAGCTACGCCTCCTCTTCTCGCGAGATTAGAGACGATCGCGAGACCGGACGTTATCTTCTTTTCCACCTCTGTGGGCGCCTGGGTAGTGGGCGGTTCCGGAAAGAGGCGGGCGCAGACTCAGAGCCCGCCCCGTCTGCGCTGCCCTCTGGGAATTTCTTAGAAAGGTGACGCGAAGGCGGGAGGAAACCGTGGAGGTTTGCGTAGACCTTTGTGGTTGCGAGCACCAACGAGCAGCCAAGCTCAGGCAATAACGTGCTACTGCTGCCTGACAACGGATTTATGTTTCCTATACAGCGCCTGGGAGTTTCGTGAGAGACATAGAATAAAAATATCTGCAAAGTCAAGCCAGACATTTAATTTAAGATTCCTAAATATTTCAGATTTTTTAAAATTTATTAATAAAATGATCAGTTTGTAAATGGGGTTACATAAATAGACAGGCACAAATGAAAGCACATCTTTATCACCACCTGTTCTTTAGGATGGCCCAAAATTAAAAGATAATACCAAATGTTGGCAAGGATGCAGAGCAACTGGACCTCTGATATGTTGGTGGTGGTAATGCAAAATGGTACAACTACTTTGGAAAACTTACAATCTTTTCTTGTAATCTTACACTTTATCCTCCAGTCAGTAATCTCTCCCTCACAATTTACCTAGGTACAAAAGTGTATATTCATACAGAGGCTTGTATGTTAATTTTCATACCAGCTTCGTTTTGCTTTGTTTTTGTTTGAGACAGAATGTCGCTCTTGTCGCCCGTGCTAGAGTGCAGTGACCTGATCTCGGCTCATTGCAACCTCCGCCTTTGAGATTCAAGCTATTCTCGTGCCTCAGCCTCCCGAGTATCTGGGATTACAGGCTGTTTTTTGTATTTTTAGTAGAGACGGGGTTTCACCATGTTGGTCAGGATGGTCTCAAATTCCAGACCTCATGATCCACCCACCTTGGCCTCCCAAAGTGCTGGGATTACAGGCGTGAGCCACCGTGCGTGGCCCAACTTTGTTTTTAATAATCAAAAACTGCAAACCACCCAAATGTCCATCAACTGTTGAATAAAAACAACTTGTGGCATATCCGCCCTGCAATATAATGAATGTAAATTAATTATCAATAAACGAGATCAACTACTTGATGTACAACATGAATGAATTTCAAAATATATTGATTAAAAGAAATCAGGCTAGGCATGGTGGCTCATGCGTATGATCCCAATGCTTTGGGAGGCTGGCAGGTGGAAGTCAGTTGGAGACTAGCTTGACCAACCTGGTGAAATCCTCTCTCTACTAAAAATACCAAAAAATTAGCCAGGCATGGTGGTGTGCGCCTGTAATCCCAGCTATTTGGGAAGCTGAGGCAGGGGACTCGCTTGAACTCAGGAGGCAGAGGTTGCTGTGAGCCGAGATGGCACAGTGCACTCCAACCTGGGTGACAGAGTAAGACTCCGTCTCAAAAAAAAAAAAAAGGAGGAAGAAGGAAGAAGCAGAAGAAGAAAGAAGAAGAAAAAGAAGGAAGGAAGAAACGAGAAGGAAGGAAGGAAGGAAGGAAGGAAGGAAGGAAGGAAGGAAGGAAGGAAGGAAGGAAGGAAGGAAATAAATAAATAAATCAAATGTGAGACCCCAAGCTCTTAAAAGACATCTATAGTGACAGAAAACAGATTAGCAGCTGCTCGAGGGCTCAGAAGAGACTGACTTGGATAGAGCTTGATTTGAAGTGATGTAAATATTCTGTTTGAGTCAAAGGTAGTGCCTGTGTGTGGGTGAATACATTTGTAAAATTTCACTGAAGTATATACTTACAATGTGTATGTTTTATTGTTTGTAAATCGAACTTCACAAAAGTTGGTTTAAAAAAAAATTAAAAATGGCCAGGCGCAGTGAGTCATGCCTGTAATCCCAGGCCTTTGGGAGGCTGAGACAGGCCCGGATCACATGAGTCAGGAGTTCAAGACCAGCCTGGTCAACATGGTGAAACCCTATCTCTACTAAAAACACAAAAATTACCCAGGCGTGGCGGCATGCGCCTGTACTCCCAGCTACTCAGGAGGATGAGGCAGGAGAATTGCTTGAACCTGGGAGGCATAGGTTGCAGTGAGCCGAAATCTTGCGACCCCCTGCACTCCAGCCTGAGCAACAGCAAGACTCTGCCTCAAAAATTAAAAAATTAAAAATGCCTATCTCTCTTACAGAATAATTTCCCAAGGGCAGAAGTTTTGACTGGTTTGATCTAAGCTGTGTCCCCAGCACTTAGGGCAGTGGTTGGCCTATAGTAGGTACTCACTAAATAACATTTGAGGATGAGAATGTAGAAAAGTGTTACAGTAAAGTAGAAACATGGGGCCGGGCGCGATGGCTCAAGCCTGTAAATCCCAGCACTTTGGGAGGCGAGACGGGCAGATCCAGGGTCAGGAGATCAAGACCATCCTGGCTAACACGGTGAAACCCCGTCTCTACTAAAAATACAAAAAAACTAGCTGGGCAAGGTGGCGGGCGCCTGTAGTCCCAGCTACACGGAAAACTGAGGCAGGAGAATGGTGTGAACATGGGAGGTGGAGCTTGCAGTGAGCTGAGATCCGGCCACTGCACTCCAGCCTGAGTGACAGAGCAAAAGAGAGTCCATCTCAAAAAAATAAAAAATAAAGTAGAAACATATGTGCTAGTTTTCCAAAACTGTTTAATGATCTTTGCAGGACCATGAGATGTCTGGAGAAAAGGATGAGTTGACTGCATCTGAGTTGTTCAGGATCATGTATGGGTTGTGACAAAAACTGATAGAGGAAAGAACTCTTTTCTTGTAAATAAGACTGCTTCAGCACTTACATATATTTCAAATATACATATATATCTGAAGCACAAATATACACACACATATATATTTTAAATACACAAATATATACACGTATATATTTCAAATACACATTTATAACCAGAACAGAACGTAGAGTGAAACCATTTTAATTTATTTACTAAAACTGTAATTTATTTGATATCCATATTTGATTTCTACTAACACTCTCTGATTTAAAACCATTTTCCCTGAGAAACGTTTAACTTCTGATGACATCAATGTTCTTTACCTAATGTTAAAGCAATGGGCAGTTTAGACATAGACTATGTGATGAATGGATACAAAGGAACTAATGGACAAATAATGATCAAACAACATACAAGGTAGATGGCCATTTTTGGAGAGATAGAAGTTAATTCCAACAAGTCTAAATCCTGTTGCTAGCAGATAAAATCTAACTATTCCATGATTAAACACTTGTGTTGAGATGAGGTGGCTTAATGTCATCGTATTGTACTGACACAGGAACCCAGTGTTACATGAGTTTGATAAGAGCAGAGCTGCAAGTCAAAGTGGATTTTTACATCAGTTTTACCATTAAATAAATTAAGGAGGACCTAAAGGCTGCAGGCAGCTCAGAGAAATATTTTCAGAAAAGGAAACAGAGTTAACATATCCTACTGTATCATGGGGCAGAAAGAAATATGGCACTGTTTTTGTGAGTTTTTAAATATGGATAATATCAAAATATCAGTTTAGTTCGTCCTACTATATTTATTTATTTATTTATTTTTGAGACAGGGTCTCCCTCTCTCACCAGGCTGGAGTGCAGTGGCACAATCTCAGCTCACTGCAGGCTTGACCCTGGGCTCAAGTGATCCTCCCACCTCAGCCTTCAAGTACCTGGCGGACTACAGGTGCGTGCCACCACTCCTGGCTAATTTTTTGTATTTTTGGTAGAAATGGGGTTTTGCCATGTTGCCCAGGCTAGTCTCAAGCTCCTGAGCTCAGGCAATCCTCAGCCTCCCAAAGTGCTGATTACAAAGCATAAAGGCCACCATGTCCAGCCTATGTTCTCCTTCTTAAAGTCTGACATTTAGCAAT